CCCAAACACTATACTGAAAACCGTGTTTTTCAGCATAATTTTATGCCAGATATGGTACCCCCACAAAAAAAAAAAAATCAAATGGAAAAAATAAATAAATAAATATGAAAACACCAAAAACTAATGATTCAGTGTCACTGCTCTAACCCTGTCAATGTCCATATCCCTGTTCTCAACCCCAGCCCCCAACACTGTAAAACCATACCACTGTCTGTAACCACATCTCTCACCAGCAAAGTCCATTCTCTAACAAAAAGCTACCACACAGTGCCCTCGTTCATTTCTGAAGGTGGATGGGACAGGTGGTTGTTGTATCCGCTGCCATTCAGCGACAGTGAGGTAAAAGGTGGACTAGGGCCGAACACTTCAGAGGAGATGCTGTGCAGCGGCCCTGGAATTCCAGGCTCTGGGCTGGGTGAGTCCCCTGGGTGGTGGGACATTATGTCAGAGAAGCGCTGCACCTCGCTGGAGGGGTGATGACCTGGCAGCGGGTGGTCCATACCTCCAAGGGGGGTTCCCGTTGGGCCGGAGGAGGGCACAAAGGGGAGCTCCACTGGGGTCTGGGCCTGTGATGATGGAGGCCCTTGAGGGAAGAAGTCATAGTTCCCTCCCGGGCCATAGTACTCACTTTGATAATCTGCAGAACCAAAAGAAGGACAAGAAAAAATAAATTAAATATATAAACGTTAGCTCCGAGCACAATGGGCATGCAGAAATAATTCCAGGATATTGAGGAATTCACTGAATATACATAGCTTGATTTTTATTAGAGAAGGAGAGAGACCCTTGCTGTGCTACATTAGTCACAGAGCACGTTACACTTAAATCAAAACGGCAACTGGGTGGGGAGAACAACGTGGATACAAAATTAATTAAAATGGGGACCATTTCATCAGCTATTCTACCTACTGAGACTGATTTTTTTTTCCAATTCAGCAGAATATTATTAAACTTTTTGCTTCACTAGAAAGGACAAGTGCCTAAGCACAAATGAAATTCTCTGAAATTATCTGGTGTTTCAAGGCATTTGAAGGAATAGCATAGTATCAGATCACTCAGCTGCAAACTACCTTCACTTAAACTTATCTTAGTGCTCAGTGATTTCCAAAAGACTGTAGAGGTGACCTACATTGAATAATATATCACTTTTGAATCTGTTTAAAGAAAACTTTAGAGCCTTATTTCTGAATATTCAAACTTGCCATAATCACTGCATCCTAAAAGTTATTCCAAATGTGTGTGCTAAATTAATGTGTTTCAGAAGGCTGGAAGTTTACAGGCCCAACACAATATTTGCTGCTTGAGGTGGCAGTGCCTTTATCCTGTCAACAAACACCCAAATAAAATTGCTATTTCTTATTAAAACATTAAGATATAAATAAATGCAAGAATAGTGTTACAAAAATAGAAAACAAATGACTAATAGCTAGTAGAGATTCCAAGGAAACAACTCGGAATTTCAAAACATATGTTTAATAACATTTCTGACTTAAACTCAGAGCAGTGAAACTAAACAGGGGAAGAAAAATTGGAGAAAACCACAATGATACCAAAAGCCTTTAAAAGAAAGGTTGTTTCAAAAGGACACACATTTGAGGTCGTTAATTTTCTTTGACAAAATGAGCTAAATTGTAGGTATACCTCCATAGTAGGAGAACGGCCCGTTGGGGATGAGCTCCCCAGGCTCCAGCCTGTCCACTAGCGTCCTCATCCGTCTCGGGCTCCGGAAAAAAGCGTGCCTCCGGGCTCCCAGCGCGCTCAGCTGCTTCATGCGTCTCTCTTTGGAACGTCTGTTCTGGAACCAGACCTGGACACACACATACATGGGTCACATCAGGTTACTAAGAAAACATGCGATGAGCTAGTGATGCCATTCTGATTACATGTCAGCATTCTTTACAGGAGACTGGCTGAGAGTCAGAAATGGAGATGAAGGGGCTGTGGCTGCTGTGGCGTGAACTTTAGGTGACAGACGTCTATAAATAAGTAGATAAGCAAACCAATACATAAATAAAAACCTTATTTGTGTGAATATGCAAATAAACCCCACTGTGTAAATTCTCTCTCATTCAAAAAAAGTGTAATTAGGTGATATATTTACTTTGGCACCTGCACCGCGTTGGCTTCTTATTAAAATAAATAACCGCGCTGTCTGTGTGTTTTGCGTAGTGCGTGATGAACTGGTGCGTTAAATCCGCGCGGCTTTGGTGAAGAGGACTGCGCCCAATTATCTTTACAGGAGGGAGAATAACATCTAACCTCCCTAATGATCTTTTAACCCTCCATTTACTCCGACTGAAGGCTACAGCAGCGGGGGCTTAAAATCTCAAATTAATGCTTAACAGGAGGGTTGTTACCAATATATTACCGGGCTCTTGGAGGTTATCATTTCCTAATCTATAGGCCGGCGTCATCTAATTACGCTCTTC